TGCTGGTTTAAACTGGTCCTTTGCTGGTTTATGCTGGTCCTTTGCCAGCACATGACCAGCATAAACCAGCAAAACAGGGCGGACTCATTTATTGGTAATAAATAATTGATAATAAATTATATTGATGATAATAAATTATCAAAAAATATTGGGCTTGTTTTGGGCTTGTTTTTGAAGCTGCGGTTGCTTATTTATCTCGCAAGAGTTGGCAACAGTGCCGTTCATGCCAGACTGGGGAGAGAGGTGTTGTAATAATGTAAAATATGTGAAAAATAATGTGTTTTTCGAACAACCTAGTATGAGAGCCTGTTCTAGTAAAATCAAGACTTTGTAAAAGAGCATAATAGGACCCCTTTAAATGTATTTAATCATCAGGTAATGACCCAGTGCAACATTCATTAGCATTCATCTGCCTTTTGGCTTGCAACATTAATGCAACACAGCTGTCAGACCTACAAGCAAACAACCTCTTCCAAGGGAAATTTGCATTTAGTTGACCAAAATCAAATAGAATTCTGTCTCAAATATTTTCTAAAGAAAATGAGCTTCATGCCTTTGCAAAAGTTGCCTCCACGACAATACAATATTGTGGGAGTTTTCTAGGGTGACGATATGTTTTATGTAGGCCTAGTGTTTTTAAAAACATATAGTTACTAGATTTTTCTGGGTGGTTGCTTAATGGTCCAAATGAAATGAGCCCATCCTACGTTTCTATAATATTCAAATCTCTTCGTTAATGTAAGTTTAATTCGCTAATTCAATATCATAAAATAGGCCATATCGCTCAAGTAACAGCTCACCTCTGCTCACCAAGCTCCATAACTTCAGGTGTCGTTTTTGTCTGTGCGGGACGAAATCTAAGCAGAAGCTAAATGGTTAACGGTTCGTTTATACCTCAAATCAAAAATATGAACAGCCATAAAAAGACCACGCAACTAAGTAATATCTTCTCACTGCCCTCTAGGGCCTCAAAACAGCACTGTACATGATCTGTCACTGCACTGCACACATTATGAAAGATCGTCGTTTGACACAATTAAATAGCCTATGTTTGACAGCATATATCCTCACACATTTCGTGAAAGCATAATTTAACTAAGAACAATGACACGATTAAACTGTAAAAGAGTAGGCTAATAAATAAAAAACCACTGGCAGACAAGGCAGAAAAAGATCTTTCTGTTAGTACTTCAATTTATATTTGGCTACATGAGTCAACAACCCTTAATCCCTAATGACTTCAGAAACTGTCAGCTTTAGATTTTTGCCTCATAAATTAATCTGACTCATTATTTTTAGTTTGACTGTCTGTGCTGTTTCTCATTTGTCTATTATTCTTCCTGAACATGAACTCTCCTGTTGTCTTCCATGCTCACTTTATTGATTCGCCTACAATAAATCCACTCAGAAGAGTGATGATCTTTCACACAGCACATGGATCTCATTTTCCACAAAACTGGAAGGAAAACAAAAGCATGGAAATGACTTGTTTAAGAGTCTGGAACTGCTTTCCTTTATCAGACAGAGGCGGAGAGGCCTTTTTAAGTGGCTATCATGGTGAATGCTGCTGGTGAATGCAATGAATGCTGCAGGCCAGGGGGATTTGAGTGCCTGTGGTGACGGTGTTAGTTGATGGA